TAGCAAGACGAGGCAAGACGGCTAAAGGGAAGGTTGCCAATTGCAATTTTCGCCATGTATTGAATCAAATATATGTATATATGTATGTATGTATGTATGTATGTTTGTAGATACCCCCACCTCCTCTTATATAAACTGCGCAAATGTGCGATACTGCAATTGACAATACATACATATGCAAAACTTGTTAAAGTTTTCCGGGTAACCAAAAATTTAAGGGGTTTACTTATCAACACACCTACTTAAACCACCCACAACTCCCCTCCACCTACAACTGTAAATTCTTATTATCGCTTATCATGAAAAAAAATGTCAATTTTGTAATAAAATAAATTTAAAAAAAAAATATGTAAACTCCAAAGCGCGAACAAGGCATTAAATGATGCTTTCAACTTCTTTGCTTCTTTGACTTTTTCTTCTCTTTTTTTTTATTGTTTAGTTTTTTTTTTTTTTTGTTTTTTTAAGCAGAAAACAAAACCAGTTTGAAAGTCATTAATTTTTAGCTTGTCTTTGCATTGTTGCTATTGCTCTCCTTATGTATTTACGTTTACGGTTTATTTACTTGGCAACACTGGTCAAGAGCACTAAAAACAGCTGTTGTTGCAACACAAGCCTAGCAGCCCACCCCCCTCCCCTCCTTGGGATGTGTTTTTTTTTCTACTTGGCGAGGTCATTAAAAGAGTAAAGTATATTATAGTTGAGTGATAAGCAAAAAAAATCAAAGACGTAATACTGAAATACATAAATAGGTCTTTACCTAATGGGTCTTTTAATTTATTTGTAGGTAGGGTTCGGGATAATCCATTCTAAACATGGCCTTTTTGAAGGTTTTTGGTGAGAAATAGTGGGTAATTGGAAGTAAAGTAATATGTAATGCCGTAATACACATATGTATATGCAAAGTTTTAGTTGATTTCTAGGTAGGGTTTAGGATAAACTTTTGTAAACATAGACCTTTTAAGGTTTTTTGATGAGATCCTATGGGTAGTTGAATGGGAGGTGAAGTGGAGTAATACCTAATACCGAAATACATAAATAGGCAAAGTTTTAGTTGATTTCTATATCAGGTTCTAGATACTTGCATCTAGAACATAGACTTTTGGGAAAAGATACAATATCTAGTCATGTAACTACATACAAAAAGTAAAAAGTAACTTGAAATATAGTTACTATTATAAATTTGACTTAAATATCAGACTTATTATCTTTTTGGAGATAAAAACCCATTTATTAAGTTAATACCAATCTATTTAAAGGCACTTTGGAGTCAAAATTTCACATAACAATGCAATCTTTGAGTGCAATTCGATAGTTCTCCATAGTTTTCGATGACATCATGAGATGGCTGCACTTGGAAATGGCCTACAGTTGGCTTTCGAGGGGTTTCGATTTTATAGTTTTGTGATTTTTGACCAACCCCACCACCCCACCCCCAAACTACCTCCCCGCCAAAATCCACTTCCAAATCGCAGCGTGGACGAGTAAATATGTACGAAGGTCGGTGTCTCCCAACATGCCCCCCCACTCCCCCTTGCCTATGTACAACAAATCGTGGCCTCTTACTTGCTCTCTCACTCTCTCTCTCTGTCGCTCTCAGCTAGCAAACCAAACCGAGAGCCCCACCTCCCCTGTTCTATGCTTATGTATGTACATACATACAAAAGATATAAGATATGCGCATTTCTTATAATGTCGAACCCAAGCGTAGCGAAATATATGTATATAAGTATGTTTATCGCGTTTTGTTTGCTAAGCTGCAAAGTATTTTTTATAAATTTTGTTTCACAAACATTTTTTAAAAGTTTTAATGGTTTTTTTTTGGGAGGGAACTGTGATAATGATTCTAGAGAAAGATCAGAGAAGCCACTAAGTACATACTTGAGATGATGACACATATGTACTTCGAGTTAGTTGATTTAATTTCCCATAAAAATGAAATTCTAATTTTTGTTACTAAGTCAGCTTTAGTTAATAGAGTTGTTTAGTAGCTAATAAAATAGGGGTTTTACACTAAAAGCTAAGGATAGTTGGGGGGTATATAGGGAGGGGGGTTATGTAATATCATAGTTTCGCTGAAAAAAAAAGTCCTTAAAATATGGAGGGTCAGATTAGATTAGAGGTGAGATTATGGCCTGGCTGTGTCAACGCAAAAGAAAGTCGGTTCCCATGGGTTGATAACCAAACTAATATGCAAATCGATTTAGGGGACGGAGGAAGGGGTGCTGGATGGATTTGGGTGAGGGGTTTGGGGGAGCTGTGGGTGGCCAGACCCCAAAAAAACACAGACGCTGTCCACACTCCGCTCTCCGCATAGCTCTCACTTTGATGTTGTCTCGCGTGTGTGCGACGGGCTCTCTCTTTTATTTTTTTTTTTTATTTTGCCATCTTGCTCTCGCTCTACCTCTGCCGCCACTCTCCCACCTCCCACCGCACCATAACTTTGCTCTCGCTCTTACTCTCTCACCGCAGCCACAGTCAAACACATTTTGCCTGCTTTGCTGTTGCTCTTTGCTTTTGTTTGTGTTGTTGTTGTTGTTGTTGCTGTTGGTGTTGTTGGTGCTGCTGCTCGCCGCGCTATGTACACAACTGTACTTTTGATTTAACCTTATTTCTTTTTTTTTTTTTTTTTTTGCGTCGCCATAGCCTGCCTGTCATCCGCTTCTAAGTTGTTCAACCACCCCTTCCCCCCCATCCACCAGTAATGGTCACTTATCTTTCTATGGGATGAATGCATGTAGAATCGTGTCAAAATCAAACTTTTTACCTGGACAGGTCCCTAACAATGACCCTAAACTTGAACTTTGCCATAATGTGTATGGTGACCCAATAACAGTTAGAGAATATAAATATACTCCCCACTAATTGAGAAATATTTAGCACGCTATTAAGCACAATTACAGACATACAAACGTCGTCGCAACAAATCGATAAAGTCTGGCCGTAGAGCCAAAAGGGGTTACAAAGGGGAGGCGGGGAGGCAGCAGCTCTCATCCATGCGGGGTGTTGGGGTGTCACCATCACGCATAATACTCGCCAGCATTAAAAGGCATCCATAAAAATTTAAAAATGTTTGCATTAATTTAATAAGAAAAAAGCTGACAATCATCAAAGCACACAAGCACAAGCAAGCAAGCACACACAGTGGAATCAAGTCGCGCACACTTCCCTCACAAATTAAATTTAGCACAGTGGGCCACAAAATAACTATTAAATGATTCATGATTATACAAATAGTGTAATTTGTTTACTTATAAGTTATTGCTTGTCTATCAAGAGAAGTATTTAATTTAAAACTTCCCAAATCCCCCCACTTTTCAAGTACAAGACCCACTGTGGCGTTATCACACCTCCCGCTATCACTATCACCACTTGGCATATCTTGGATTCGTGGGTAGCATGCGACCCACTGTGCTCATAACTGATAGGGGACAGAGCAATCTGATGACGACACAAGTGTCGAAAGTAACGAGACTTTGCCGACAGCCGGCCGCTTGTCGTGGGGAAGGGGGGCTCAAATGAAGAAAAGGGGGAGGTGGAAAAAAATGAGGAAAAAAAAAACAAACGAGTAAGCGTGCTTATACGCGTATTACAAGTGTACACGTGTGTGTGTGTGTGTGGGTTTACAAACTTTCAAAGCGAGTTAATTTATAGCACGTTGTGTTTTTGTTGTTGTTATTTTTATTACCTTTTTTTTTGCCTCCGCCTGCTTTTGTGTAATTATGCCATTTGATTTGCTTTTCTTCAAGTGGATTCTTCGCTTCTGGAAGCTCGGCTTTGCCAGCGTTGCCACACTTTGCTCGGATTTTATTTTATGATACTATATTGCATTTATATTTCATTTTAATTGGACTGTTATTGCTGGCTTATTGCTCGCGTCTTGTTAAACTGATTTTTTTTATTGACTTTTGTTTGGGTTTTTGCTTTTATTGTTGTTGTTGTTTTTGTTTTCAGCCGCAAATGTTTGTGGTTGTTGTTGTTTGTGCTTTAGTGCAGCTTAAGTTGCTTGAAAAGTTTATTCACCTCTCGCTCTCACGTGTCAGGTAGCTGTTGTTAGTGGGCCTCAGTGTGTTTGTGTGTTGGCTGGTTTGTGTCATGGCTAGTTATTCTACTAAATACAGTGGGACTATTAAGCTTAATAAGTACATGTATATGAATAAATTAAAAAAAAAATTAAATAAATTTAAAAATATGTAAAAGAATATGTTCAGTTTTGATTAAAAACATGTATATTTTTTTATATATTTTAATTTAATTTTTCTAGTCCCCACTGTTCTACAAGTATTAACCCTCGTACCCCTCCCACTTTTCATGTAAATTTTCTTGTAACCACAAAAACCAACGGCTTTGTATGCGAAAATTTGTTAAATCGAAAACGTGACTTGCTTGCTGGAAGAGGAAGATGTCCGAACCTGCCTCTCACCAAACCTCACTCCAACTCCGAAATACATAAAGCCAAAGTCAAAGCCAAAAGCACACAAATCCACTTATGTACAACTTGCATACATATGTATCTACAATCTGCGATCGAATCTGCGACTTGATTTCTGATTTGGTGCAGCTTTCCCTCTTTTGATTACCTTTCTCTTCCTATCGAGAGGCTATCTATCTATCGCTTTTCTCAACAAGGTCGTCACTTAAATTGAAATCAGGATATCTTTTAATAAGATAAAAGGGAGTGCAGATACAGATACAGATACTTTTTAGCGGTTAGAGTGGTTGGGACTTCCGTTTCTTCAAACTTGTCTGACGGGAAAGCAAAAAAAAAAAAAAGAAAAAGGAAACCCAAATTCAACCCCTGGATGAAACATGAACGCCAAAGTAAACGCCCCCAGACAATATTCTTAACCCCTAAAGAGAAAATGACACTTTTTTTCAACAAAAAAAAGGGAAATTTAATGAAAATCCTTATAATGAGAAAATCTTATTGTAATTAAGGAAAATTGTACCTTCTCTAGTATCATCCAATCTAATAAGTTTTCTTTTCTTAATGTCCTTTACAGTTACTCAAAATACAGAATCACGACGACGCGACGAGCGAAAATGGCCAAAATGGAGGTCGACGACGTGGTCGACTTGAGCCTGAGCTCGGGCCGTGACCCGGCGTTGACCATAACGCCGGCACCGACTCCCTCACCGGCGGCGCTCAGCAATCGGGACTTGCGAGCCTTAACGGCCAACAATGCCGGTTTAACCATAACACCGGCACCCTCGGGTGCTCCCACAAATAATGGAACCACTAGCAACAATAGTAATAGTACCACCAGCAGTAGCACCACCACCACCAACAACAACAACAACAGCTCCAGCAATTCATCCAGCAGCAATACAAATAGCAACAATGCCAGTGAAAGTGCACCAGGAGGGGGAGGAGGAGGATCTGGTGGTGGTAGTGCCAGTGGTGGCGGGGATGAGAACAAGGTGCAGAGGCGAGTCCTGAGGCCCAGAACCGAACCCAAGTCCTATGCCGAGGCACCGGATATTGTCCTGCTGCCGGCGAGAACCAATGGACGGCAGCAGAACGGGAACATTGACTCGGAGACAGATGACGAGGAGATGCCGCCGTATGTGCCCATCAAGGAGCTGAGCCACGCGGAGCTGAAGGAGCGGGAGAAGAGCCTGCGCAAGTTGCGGCAGGATCTGCGCAACGAGGAGACCAAGCTGATGCTGCTGAAGAAGCTCAAGCAGTCGCAGCAGGTGATGAAGGAGAATCTGGTGGTCACACCGACCAGTGTCTCGCCCAACAACCCGCTGGCCGCCATACCCGCCGCCCTCACCTCCAAGGGTTCGCTCAGTGTGACGCCGACGTCGGCGGTGCCACTGCCGGCCCACACCAAGGGCAGTCGAAGTAGCCTCGGTAGTGGAGGAGCTGCTGTGAGCATCAGGTGAGATTACTCCTCCAACTGGATCTTAAAAAATGTTAATAATTTTAATTAATTCTTAGCGCCACCAATAGTCGAACGGGCAGCTCGAGCTCCACGGCGGCAGCTGCCTCGGCCATTGCTGCGGCAGCGGCGGCTTTGAGCGGCCAGCAACGTGGCAGCAACTCCATCCTGCAGCCACCGCCGCGCAACTCGCTGCCAGCGGGTGCCACATTGGCTGCCGGCACTACCATTACGCCCGCCACCTCTGCCTCGCATCGGTCGAGCGCTTTGCCGCCACGGACCAACCTGCCGAATCTCACCATCACACCGTCGGTGACCATCACGCCCACCTCGGCGCCGCCCTCCAGTCTGAAAGCACGCAATGTGAGTTATTGTAATGTAATCGTTGCCGTAAGCGCCGAGTTTTTCTCTCTCTCACCTTTTTGTCCAAAAAGAGCACCACGAAACCACTACCACCATCACCATCACTACTCTTACAAGACAAAAACACAGCGCACATTGTATACTAACTAACTAGTAACTAACTAAAACAAAAGCAGCAAGAACTATGGAAATATTAATAAAGATTTCATCAAGTTCTTCGATATCTTCGATAGTTCTTGCTGCCCAACACTGCCAAACACCAAGTAGTATTAGTACTAACACATACACCTGTCAACCCAGCCGATGTCGGTCTCCCTAAAAAACCGAGATGGCTTGATATTCCTTCTCTCGAATTCATTGAAATTTTAATCTCCGCTCCCCCAACTACTAAACGCAACTTTTGCTCTGTATTCGTATTTGTTATACTACTTTAAAAAAAAACCATTAAACATGCAGCCTAATCTTTCGGATAATTCAAAGGTACCTGGGACCATTAGCAATTCCGTATCCATCACACCGGCCCCGCCACTGTCCCAAACGCATCAGAATCATCTAAACGATCTTAAGGTAAGTGTAACCCTACAGAAAGGGGGTATATAGTTCTCCAATTAATTAAATATTTATGATAGAATGATCGATCCACGCCAAGAGAAGATGCCCAGACACCTGCCCAGAGACAGGCGGCAGCTAAGATGGCACTCCGCAAGCAGCTGGAAAAGACGCTACTCCAGGTGGGTTACCTCCATACTCTCCTATTAAGAGACATGGTCTTATATTGTGGTGTTTTGATAGATCCCCCCACCAAAGCCACCACCGCCAGAGATGCACTTTATACCCAATCCCAGCAACACGGACTTTGTCTACTTGTTGGGTCTGGAGACCGTGGTGGACTATCTGACGGTCAACAAAAAGGCCAACAATGTGGCGGCTCCATTTAGATGTGCCCAGTGCAAGATTGACTTTACACCAGTTTGGAAATGGGAGAAGCAGAGTAAGTCCAAGGGTTTAGATCACCAAGAGAACTCTTTTAACCACTTCTGTACTTCCGAACAGCCAACAAGGATCCCAAGGTGATCTGCGAGCAGTGCGTCACCTCGAATGTGAAGAAGGCTTTGAAGGCGGAGCACACCAATCGACTGAAACAGGCGTTTGTGAAGGCCCTGCAGCAGGAGCAGGAGATTGAGCAGCGACTGGCCAGCCAGAGTAGTCCTTCGCCAGTGGATAACCATGGTTCGAGCAACAACTCGCTATCGGTATCCGCTGTGACCAGCAACAACTCCTCGTCGTCGTCATCGGCGCACTTGCAACGGGAACGGGAACAGCTGCAGGCTAGCCACGCTTCGGCGGCGGCCGCTCTGGTCAACCTGCCGCCTTCGGTGACGGTGATACCCACCAAATGCCAGACGCCAACGCCAGCCCCGCCGCGTCCCACACCACCGCCGCCCCAAAGTCAGCCCACACCGCCGCCATCGAGTACGCCGCGATCGTCACGGGCGGCGGCCACTGCTGCTGCTGCCGCTATTGCCGCCCAGCAGGCGGGCATCTTGAGTCCTGGACCGACAGCGGCGCATCATCACGAAGCTGCCACATCGTCGAGATCCTCCCGCAACGATCGTCACGATCATCATCACCAATCCCAGCAGCAGCAGCAGCGGGATCAGCGGGAACGGGAGCAGCAACGTGACCAGCAGGCGCAACAGCAGCAGCAACAGGCCCAGAGCTATGACAAGTACTCGGCGGCCACGCTGGCGGCGGCTGCTCATCTGAGTGCCCTGGGCGGCATGGGTGGCCTGAACCTCAATAGCCTGGCCAGTCTGGGCAATCTCGGTAATCTGGGCAACCTCAGCCAGCTGGGTAATCTGGCTGCCCTCGGCGGTTTGGGTAACTTTGGTGGGGGGTCGTCGGCTTCCAATAATCCTGCAGCGGCATTGGGCAACTCCTCGCCAGCTGCCACGGCGGCGGCTATGCAGGCCTTCCAGCAACAGCTCTTCCGAGGTGAGTTTCTGGATATTTTTGTGAATATATTGTACTGATTGGAGTACTCTTTCCAGCACTAGGACAAGGTCTGGGAGCCAATCCCCAGCACATGATGCAGTTTGCCCCACTTTTGTACTCGTATCAGGTGGCCATGGCGCAGGCGGCACAAGTGGCAGGTTAGTTAAAGGATTATTATCTTAATTAGAAGGATTATATTAATAAAATGTTTTGATTTATTGTTGTAGCCTTTAATAACAACAACAAGAAGAGCAGTTCATCCTCGGGATCGGGCAAGAACTCGAGCAGCGCCAACAGCATGGCGGAAGTGCAACGTGCGGCGGAGCTGCAGCGCCAGTATTTGCTGGAAATGATACCACCCCAGCAGCAGAGCGGAGCCAGCGGCAGTCGCCAGAACAACTGGAAGGCCTAAAAGGTCGTCTAAAAATAAAAAAAATTAAAATTACAATTTTATAAAAAAAAAACCAGAACTAATTTTATGGTTTAATTGATTAGATAATTTTATAATTTAGTGAAAAAACAAATAAGAAACATCTAAGAATTATACACTTAAACAATTAATTATACTATTTGTAAACAAAATAATTATAGAGGGAAGAAGCCAACAAAAAAAAAACAAAACCAATTTAAATATAATTGTTAGTAGTTTCCATTTATTTTGTTACCGACGGCATACATATTTATATATTAAACATTGTATTTTTGATTATTTTGCCAGCATGAATATACATAGCAACACAGCCGACAAATGAATGCAAACTTTAACGCTCCTAGTAATTGAATATTGAATATTAAATAATATTGCAAATCCTAGCCAGTAAGAGACGATTGCCCCGTTTTTCTAGGGGCCCTACACCAATTAATGCACCAATCCCCCCCCAGACTTCCCCTCCCAAGATTTTGTAATTGTTAAAAATATTTTGTATTTTTAAAAACCCGCTCTCGTTTTAATTCAAACATTTTATTCGTACAATTTTCATTAGTTTTTTTTTAAATAAATATGGTAAACAAATATATATATAATATAAATATATATATATATTTTATATTTTTTAATCAATTTTAAGCATATACATAGTATTAGTTGTAAACAAATTGTTAGGATATAAATAAATTACGAAAATAATTACAGAAATTCTTGCATTGCCAGCAGCAGCAGTAGTAGCTCTTCGCCAATCGAACATAATCATTTCATAAATCCTCCACATGCCTTATATCATCCATGTTACAGCTCCGATACGAAGTTAGTACTGTTATTTAGTTGAGAATCCAGCAAAAACATAACACATAATAATACCATACATATGGACTGTCACTTAGGACTGTTTTTGATTTCAATTAACAAGCAAACATACATCGAAAATTAATAACATGCATATAATATTTTGTACATATTATACCTAAAATACAATATATATATTAAAACCGAAATTCATACACTCTTCCCATTAGAATTCAAAACAAGATACAGATACAGATCTTCAGGTTTTCGTCGTCGATCCTCTAATGAAAGGACATGATTATAATATTGACTGAATATTATTAGCATTATACACAAAGTAGGAATCTAACAAAAACAGAAGCAGAGGCTTGCATAAATCCCTAAATACGACTAAAACATATACAATATATATAGTACTATATATATATATATTTTTGATTTATCGGCGGACGGCAGTTGTAGGTTTACACTTTCAGGCGAATCATTCGGAACACAAACCAAATTCACTTTGGGCATGCGAAATCAAAATGTGATCAAAATATGAAATTAAAAATTAAACAAAAAATTAATCAAGAAACGAACGGGAATTAATTAAATCGAAGCAAAATGAAGAGAGAGTGGGAAAAATTCATAATTATTTTAAGCTAAATAAAGTAAAAAATAAAAACTAAAATGCATTGTAATTCAGTCGGCATCAGTTTCAGTGTGTATGTGTGTTTGAAATTCCATGCTAAATGTAAAACAGTATAAGAATATAACAGTTTTTAAACCAAAACTCAAAAATTTGTATTTTATGGGCTTTCCTATTTTTGGGAACTTAATTTAAAAAGAATTTTCTTTTTTTAATTCAAAACAAAAAGGTCCTTATTTTCAAATTACGCGCCCTTATGCGCTATGCAACACTAAAAATGGGTTACTGTAAGGTAAAGTAAAAAGAAACTATGTAAAAGGGTGATTCTCATCCGATTCTCAAGCGGAGTATCTTAAACGATTTCTGGATCGATTATTTCGAAATATTTTTTGTCCATTTTTTGTGTTGGGATCCCTTGAAAATGGGGTTTTCCCCTATAGGGCCCACAGTGATGGCTATATCTTCCCCAATTTTTATCCGATTGTCAAGCGGATGGGAGGACAGGCTTAAAGGCTCCATGTCAACTAGAATATCAACTAAAAAGGTAGAATCCGTCATGTAATAGGATAAGTGTTACATGTTTGTTAGAGGTAGGAAATTTAAATTTAAATGGTGTGGAAGTTTTAGTGCTGTACAATGTTCAACAGATATTAGAAGGTGTTGGACAAAAATCTAGTGGAAAGGGTCAGGGGAGCCAGGGCTCTGGATGAGGTAGCCGGAGCCTATAGGCTGACCCGAAGTTGCTAATAACAATATTAAATCATAGTTTAATTTCATTATTTATCTTATTTAATCAATTATCGATAAGCTCTGCATTTTCCAACCCTAAAAAACATCCATATCTAGCCGCATACACCTGCACCCACACAATCGCACCAGCATAACACACATACGCTTACGCTTATCTTAATTTAGCCAAAAGCGAATATAAAACAATCGAAACCAGCTTTTTTGGGAACCATATTCTTGTATTGGTGCGCTACAAATAAAAGGCCACGCGATGATAAGCTTTTTGTACATTGTAAACCGCGCGCTCAGCAGCACGAGCATCGGCTCCAGTCCCGGTATAACACAATCCCTTCTGACCAGCAAGATGAGCGCCCCAGGACCACGCCCACTCGTCCTTTGCGGACCGTCCGGTTCCGGGAAGAGCACGCTCCTGAAACGCCTGTTCGCCGAGTTCCCCAACACGTTTGGTTTTAGCATTTCGCACACGACCCGAAAACCACGCGAGGGCGAGGAGCACGGTGTCCACTACTACTTCGTGGAGCGGCCGGAAATGGAGGCAGCCATCGCTGGAGATGAGTTCATTGAGACGGCAGAGTTTACGGGCAATCTGTACGGCACCAGCAAGGCAGCCGTGCGAGAAATCCAGGCCAAGGGCAGGGTCTGCATTCTCGACATCGAACAGAAGGGTGTGGAACAGATCCGCCGCACCGACCTCAACCCCATTCTGATCTTCAATAATCCGCCCACCATCAAGGAGCTGGAGCGACGGCTGCGACTTCGTGGCTCCGAAACCGAGGAGACTCTGAACAAGCGCCTGAACGCCGCTCAGGTGGAGATCGATTATGGACTAACGCCCGGTAACTTCCACAAGATCATCAACAATGTGGACATAGATGTGGCCTACCAGGAGTTCCGTGACTTTGTGGTCCAGGAGCTGAAGAAGCAGGAAAGTGCGGGAGTGACAATCGCACTGGATTAGTGGTGTTATCCGTAACGGGGTGGCTATGATTTTAAACCTCAGTGGGCTGAAAGGGTTCCTATTTTTTATTTTTAATAATTAGTTGTTGGAAAGGAAAGTTATCTGGAGGGCAGTAGTTTCCCTTCTGGTGACTATCCATTCCCCTAGAAAATGATGGACATCCCTGACAATCAATGGGATATCAGACCTTCCAGCCCACAAATAATGTTGACTAATGGCATTTATTATTAAGAAACGGCTTGTATTTATTCTTCAGCTCCTAATCCCAAGTCCTGACGCCCATTAACCACCAACTGTTGTGCAAATTCGTTGTTGTAATTGTAATTTTAAGCTGAAAGTTGTTGCGCCGCTTCACGGTCTCGTCCGCCGGGTGGTAATTAAAATGGAATCAATAAAACAAACAGTATGCGGGTATTATTGTATTTTTCACGAAGGTTTCTCTCAATATTCTATGTACTATATATTCTCTGGGAAGGTCAAAATGTTATCATCGTCTCACGCAATCGGACGATTTCTCAATAATGGACAAGGGGGTTACGTCTGGAGCTCCCGAACTGGAACACCCATGGGATATCCTCTGCGCCTCATTCGAAGACGACACGCAGCCCGATGCGCCAGTCCTGATCCGAACCTTTGGAGATTACGATGAGGAGGGATACGCATTGGTCTTATAGTCATGGTGAAGATGGAAGCGTGCCTGGTAGCTGGTGCTCCCTATACCACCCATACCCGATTGGATGCCGCCATGGCTGCGATGAACAACCTTAGCCGAGCCATCGATCTTGGTCCTACTGTCCGGACTGCTCCACAGTCCGGCAATAGCCTCCAGTGCCAATTCCGTCTCGTCGTCCTTATCGTCGTGCTCCGCCGAGAGTGTCAGATCGATTTGACGCTTGTGTCGTGGAGGAGCGGATGCCACTAGACCGATGGCTATCAGGAGCACTAGCAGAAGGTACTGGAGCGAACGCATGTTGGAAACAAACTGAGAGCAAATAACGCTTGTCTGGGTTTATGGATGATTAAGCTTCTGTCTTATCAACAGATTTATTTCTATTCTCGTTTTCCATTTCTCTGAATTATAATAGAACTAAACAAAAAATTGTTTTAAATGGCGGATTTCTAGACTTTCGGCTCCATGATCTGGGCTGGGGGCCAGTCCCACTGCTTGGGCGGCGCCTGTTGGACCAACTTCTCCCAGGGCTTCCAGCCGAGCATTTTGCGGGCCAGCACCAGTTCGTTTTCGGCCTGGACGATCAGCTCCTCCACCTGACCACAGCCAACAGCCCGCTCCAGATCAGGGATGCTCTTGTTCTGTTAAAGATTAGATTATTAATAAGATTATAGCTTTATTATTAAAAAACTTACGTTAGTCAAGGCATTGGCGCGATCGTTGACTAGTTGCTCCGTGTACTTCCTGTAGCTGGATTCCTGCGGCATCTTGGCCACTGCCCGCAGGATCTTGCAGTACAGAGCCGAGAGAGTGTGGTGAGGATTGGTAGACACGGCCAGGCCGGTCAATCCAGTGGACTGTGGAGGAGCAAGCGATGACATAACCATAACAATGCGGAACGTTGCGGTTTTCAGGTTTTGGAAAAGTTTAATAGATTATTTAGTACTTATTTTATTAAAGCCGTCTTCTACTTACCGCCTTGATAATCTTGGCCATGTTTGGAAGGCTTTTTTAGCTGAAAGCTAACAATTTTTCTGCACGATATTTGTAGAAACAGTAACAGCTGTGGAAGCTGCCAACTTAGTTTTCATAGTGCTTGAAAACGATTTTTCTGTTATAGTGCTGGGTAGCTTAGAAATATCGCAAATAGGCGATAGTTTGGCGGGAATTCAATTTTCAGAATAATACAATTTTATTTTTTTTTAAACTATTAATGGTTTAACTTTTTTAAATCACTTCCTCTCAATAAAAAAAATAAATAAAAAATTATTTAATTACTGTCTTCAGACTACAATTTTTTGAACTAAATACTTTATTTTTTTTCGTATATGGCATAAAATGCTTTAAGATTATGGGATTCTTTTTTTATTTATCACAATTAACGTTTTGTGGTATGAAAATGTGTCATTTTGGTAATTTTCAAAATAAAAACTGGCCAGTGCTGATACGAGCATTAAACTAATGAAATGAAAGTGCTTATAATGCTTATCTTAATATAATTTTCTAAAAGGTCCAATCTATGTGGGTGCCACAGGATCCGCCACACCAAATGCCGAAATTAGAACATTGACGACTGTCACGATGAAAATGCCAATGACCGTGTAATTGTTTATTCGGTTTGCCCGGCAGATCTCATGCTTGTCGGTGATGTTATACCGACCATTTAAAATAAGGCCCACGCCTACTGCAATCTGAAAAAGAAAAACCAAAAACAAAATATTAATTTATGAATTTGTATATACCAAAATAAGATATTTTTAAAAACACTGCAAGAACAGGTGTAGGGTTTAAAATTTACCTGAAATATAATGCTGGTTGAGATGAACAACAGACTGGGATAAAAGTATGGATGATTCTTATTGGTTTCCAGCACATATCGCAACTGATTTGCATTCGCCGAGAGGAGGGCCAAGTCCATCATGCCCTGGGCCAGGGTTTTTTTGTGCTGATATGCATTCACATCGGGTATGGGAGTCTGAACTCCGTTGATGGTCACGAAACCGGGTCCATTGATACCCGGAACAGAGAAACTGGGTCGCCTGCCACTATTGCCGCCATTGGGCACAAAGACATTGACTCCACCACCGCCTCCTCCTTCCAAAAGTCCATCATCCACTCCAGAATTGGCACTCCCATCTTTAACAAAGGGACGATCATCCGTGTCATCATCGTCCAATTCGGGAACTGTCAAAATAATGAAATAAAAATCAATTTATTGGTTTAATGCATTTTCTTATGATTACTTACACACAAAAGCGAAGTTTACAAGACATTATTTAATTGTAGTTTAAAGCAGCATTAGTCACAATAAAGTTATAAGGACAAGCACAAAAAATATACATATACTAGTTTTTTTTTTAAAGCAATAAACAAATGAGTTGCGTTACGAACCTGCTCGGGGAACTCGTAGGTTATTGTGATTTCGCCCATCGATAGAGTCGCCGTTGATGTGATTATTTTCCTGTAAAATGCAAATAAAATCATTTCCTGAATATTAAAACGGATTCACGCCAAAAGTCAATTGTTTACAAATGTCAAAGCATCATTATAAAAATGCAAAATAGCTCAAAATTCTCTAGTATGTTAAGAGAATGCATATATGAATGTGTTTAAAAAAACTATATTTGTGTCATTAAAGGAAGAGATAAAGCTGAAGGTCGCAAACATTATTACAAGATGAGCTTATCTTTTATAGTTTGTCATTGGCTTGCTTAATATAACATGAATATTAATATACATTTTATTAAAAGATAGGCATGTAAATAAAATAATATTTCTTTGTCTCCCCTCCCCTGAGCATCTATGACTCAATTATCTTTTTTTTAATGCAAACTGAAATCCCAATCTGGTACAAGAAAATAGATCTGCAGGGGGATCTATTCGTATGACTAAGTCTTGGGGTTTTTTCCGCTTCAGCTGTCGCCTTTCCCAAAAAAAAAAAATGAAATTGTTAATACCACCTGAGAAGCGTTTCCCTTGTTTACACGACAATTATCAGTGCTACTAAAATCTAAACAGAGGTGGTATGTATTCGCAATAGATTTCTCGAAAACCCATCTAGCTAACAGAATAAACAAAGCTAAATTTAAATACAATTTTTGTTTAGTTAACCGGCTTAATGATTATAAACGTACCTTTTTATTATCGCCTAATGGCATTTTATCCATTTGCAGCGTTACATGCTCTAGGTCACTCATCTTTTTTCCGCTTGCAATTAATTAAAAATGTAATTAAAAGGAATTTGAAGAGCTAAATTGAATTCTTTGTTTAGTTTGGCGGCTCTTTGAGATGTATCTTTTATCTGTATCTCAAGTATTCTTTTGTTTTTTATGCTTCTGTTTTTTACGAATCACTTGGATCTTTTTTTTTTTCAAAAAACTCGTGCGCTTTTTTGCGACTGCTCGGCACGCTATTTCTCGGACTACTGACCAGAGAGCTACGAAGTGAAATGGTTTATTCTGGCGAATATAGGAATATATGTATTATACTATATGCTTGGGGGTACACTTGTCCGGTTTTAGCTTCTCTCGGGGAATTTCACGTTCTCAGCTTACGAAGTTATAACAAGTTTGTTGTTTGTTGATGTAACAAAGAGTGTTTATAAGGGAATAAATCAAATTTTTTGAAGCATAAAAAAAGTTGTAACTCTCTCGAATGACTCCCTCTCTCTTTTTAATGCACAGCACCCGTCTCTTTCTCTTAATGATTTACAAATTTATTTCCGTAGTCTAGCACGCCAAGTTCCTCGTTCGCGAGAAATTCACTTTATTCCGACGTCATTTACCTCGATAATCTAGAACGCTAATATAGATTAATTCATTTGATTTTTTTTAAACGCTCTTTCTTGGAAAATGCCCAAATGCAGCTAGGAAAATGTCGCGGTAAATTGTTGGGTTCTCCCCAATTTTCATTAGTCACCAAGAGGTGGACAATACTTGTGGACTTTCACAATTAAAAATAAAAGCCTGCCGTTCTTTGGGGCTTCTCAAAAAAAAGAGGAGTCTTGAAGACCGAAGAAACCGGTTGCTATCAGTAGCATTAAACATACCTACACACAAACATAGCCGTAAAGCTTACACTCTCCCGTCTTTATGACACGAGAATCTGAGAATCAATGGACCAGTTCCCGTAGGCTGCCAAAATTTCTTCGTGCTATTTTGGGCAAATGAGAGTGTTGACTTTTGGCTAAATATGCGATGCAAACCATTATAAAAACATAAAAAATTTATTTACAAAACAAGTACTACCTTAAATTTCAAAAGAACTATAAAAATAAATGTAAACAAAAATAAAAATAAAAGTTTTAAAATAGCACTTGCTGACAGGAACTTATATCAAAATTAATTCAAAACCTTTTCTTAAACCATTAAAATTTTTTTTAATTTTACGAAATTTTAATTTAAATATAATATTAAGTAAATAATCAAAATCGAATTATTTTATTTCAAACTAAGCATCCGTTGAATTTTTAATGTGACCAACCATAGCTAAGTTTAAATACCAGAAACAGATCTACTTAAATCTAGCCAACTCATAAACCATTTGTGGCTTTAAGCTTTTAGTCAAGTTATGGTAGCCCTAATTTCAAAAAAGATGTTATTATTTGAATGGAAATTTTGAAAGGGTATGATTATAATTTCTTTAATCGTTTATTTAATTTTAAATTGCTATTAATGAACCAAAACCTATTTAAATTTATATAAGGAATACAAGTTTAAGTACATTATCTTTTGATTTTCAATGAAACAATATTAACACAAAAACCTAACACTATGGGGCTTAGTTAAAACTTAATATCTGTATAGAGTTAAAAATAAATGATAAGAATGTCTGAAATTTCTATAATAGGCCTAAAAACAGACGAATGTGTTGCAGTTTTCGGAATTAAAGATAAAATGCAAAGATTGATTATAAATGCAAGCCTCATAATGAAGCCATATAATTGCCTTTCTTCTTGTCAAATGCCTAACACCACGAGTGCATACTGTGTGTGTGAATATGTGGGGGTGTGTTTGTGTATGTGTGTGTGTTGTAGGTGCCAATTGAGCCTTTCTTGGTAAATACAACTTTAGTTAATTAGTCGTTTCGGTTAATATGGTAATTGAATGTGCATGTACAGGCATTTACAACTAGATGCGTACATGTGTATTAATGCACGGCAATAATCTGGCAACTGTTATGTCATTGGGGCTTGCATAAATTATGATTTCATGTGCGAGGGAGACAGGTGAAAAGAGAGTGAAAGAGAAAGGGAGTGAGAGCATCCATTTCCATGCCCCAAATCGATGCAAATGCGCCAAGTACATGTGTGCGAAAATAAACACTGGCATTCAAAATATTAGTTACAGAAAAGGTCTTGCTTGGAAAGGAATTTTTCAAGAAGGTTTTAACTATTTTTAGAATTATATTAAAATGTTATAAGCTTGTTAAGATTTACCTAAGATTTTATTAGTTAATCTTCTCACGGTTCCTCAATTTTATGATTCTTCGATACCATTATTAGCGCCACATTTGTATTTGTATTTTGCAAGGACATCCCACTCACCCACACCTGCATCCTGCGTGTATGCATTTATAATCGCCAGTCAGGCAATCAGGCAGTCCGTGAGCTCCAAAAACCAAAATGGCAGGCACGTAAACGGAAACGCAACGACAATCGCACATTTCCCAATAATTATATTTCAATGCATCAGAATTTCAGCAGGACAGTTGTCTGGCTTCCGCAGGACAACAACACCACCACTGAAATCGTCATAATCATCTTGATATTTATTATCATTGGCAGGAGCCAGAGCAGAAGAAGGAGCAGTAGCACGAGCAGGAGTATCGTCATCACATCTGGCCACTGCCATTGATACAGTTATGAAAGCCGACGAGCATAACAAAAGCCTCTTGGTCAGTCCACTCACCAGCCGACCAGCCGCCCAGCCACCCAATTACCACCCATTCACCCGCCATCCCACCACCAACGAATGTTCTGTGGCTAGTGGGTGGGCTGGGTGGTTGTGTGCTCGGGTGGTTGCTCGGACACTGGTGCCTGCTGTGGTGCGGTTGGTCATTATCTGTTTAACAGTTCCACATTTAACGAT